TTTCATGAATGTTGGGTCGGAATTGACTCGTTCTAGCATGTCCTTATCGACTCTCATGCGATTAAGGTTTTTTTAGAAAATTTAGGTCTTTTGGGACTAGCCGAGCGGTAACATGTTTCATACCCAAATTATTACTTAAAATGGTATTCGTGAGATACTGAAAGTTCGGCTGCTATCTCTCTCAAAGTTGAATGAGGATTTTCAGTCCCTATTTCCTTCACTTTTGCGATGTTAACTTCAGTTGCCGACGTTGATGGCCTACTAGAGTGTTTTTGGTAAAGTCGATTCACTGTAAGCCTTCTGTAACATTTTCAGTGACTCCGAACACGAAATTACATTGGCGATTCAAAATTCAAGACAAACTCTTTGTTCGAAGTTTTTTTTTCCATTATGAAATTCGCAATACACACTAGATATGATATAACTAAAAACAGCAGTGTATTTAATATAAATAACAGATGAAACTCAAACTCCGCGCCAAAATGGAAAACAGTTGTGCCAATCTAACAACAACAAAAAAAAACAAAAATTTGAATTTGGGACCATAAAGAAATCATCCATTCCTGATAATTTTTTGACTGAATGTATATCGGATGAAAGTATAACATTTTGGCCACAGTTTGGCTCTATAACAGGTAGCAGCGATTATAGACAACCTGGTTCAAAACTCTTGCCGAATATTAATCATCGTAATTTAAATCCCGTATTTTGAATACAAAAAGTGATAACATCAATCAATGAAAGACGAATTGCAGCTAAATCATTCAATATTTATCTAACCGTAAAAGGTGTGGCTAAGCCTGCCAGTCATACAGTGATAGCAGGTTGGTTAAAAACCCTGTTCAAAGAAGCAGGCATTGCAGCAAACCCTGCAAGTTGTCGGTCTGCTGTGGCTTCTCAAAACTAGATTGAAAACCGTCCCTAGGACGAAATACTGGCCCGATACATTCCTCTCATCCATTCCCATTCAATCAATGTGAAAATGTAACACAATAATTTGTTCCGATAAGATAACTATTTGATTAGAAATAGTAATATATAATAATATATATTTTGATTAAGAAGAATTACTTTACTCCATGTTAAAGAACAATGGCAGAAACGTATTTACCTAAAACTTAAGCGTTTAAAAAATCGAGTCACAGTAAACTTAATCAATTTTTTTTCTATGATTTATCATTACACCACCATGTGTTGTATAAGTCTTATAAGAGATAAGATATTTTTGAAGATTTTATTTGACCTAAGTACGTAATGTCAGATTCGCCATCACGTATAACTGACTAGGGATGCGTGGTGGCAATATTATATTATGGAACAATTTATCGATAATCGATTCTTATAGCTTTGGCTGAAATATTTACCGAAGGTTCACTATTATGATTATGAATTTGCTTCTGCCCACGTCTTCACTCGTACGGTAGAGTGACTGAATCAACATAATTAGAAATGATTTAAAATATTTTTGACTCTCTTTAAACGATTTTAAACACACTAAAGAAATAGAATATAGTTACGTTATTTTCCACTACACAGTGTGATTAGAAAAATACATTGTCATTGATAACGGCACATAAATAGACATACATCGATATTTTCAAAATGTCGATACGTCGTCGTTTAGTACATATCTCTTAATCTGTGGTTTAGATCCTGTCAAGTTCTGGACTCACCACGTTTGTTATTTTATTTTTGTTTAATTTAGTGTTAAACTCGAATAGATGATATGCTTTTATTTTTTTTATTTCATATACTGTAATAATAATGAAAATAATATTTTCGGCTATCTGACACACAACGCCATCTAGTTTCAAACAAAACATTAACAATATGTTAGTACTTAACCTCGAAACATTCAAAATCCAATATCTTTTTTCCTAGACTTCTTTCGCAAGTAATTTTGATATGAGAATGGTCAAGAATAAATTCTCAAGTGTTAAGGATTTTTTGATATTTAAACGCTAACATTTCAGTTCAAATAAAATTATGTATGGGGACCTGCCATTGTCCTTTGTAATAATTTCAGTCTTTATAATGATTATGATATTTCAATTATTTTTTGGCCAAAAATAAATAAAATTCATTCTTACCTCTAATTCTATTATTATATACCCTATCCTTACATTGGTGTTTATTTAATAATAATAAATAATTTACAAATAGCGAGTAGTGTCGATAACGAACGTCGCCTCATATAAAAGCTTCAAGTGACGATCAAGTGGTATAATAGCAGCGTGTCACCTGAAAATTAAACGCTGCTTTAAAATACTTACCTCACTAGAAGCTTTCACTGTATATCTGCCTGGTGAATATTCACTGAGTCAATGACAAAAATGGCGCCCCAAGCGTTCTACGACAACTAAAAACCGCCAGGTGTCGCTACTGGACCAGATGTACAAGGTACTAAAAAGAGAGTGACCTGGTAGAACTATGACGGCAACGGAAATGCCTTCTCTTCTCAGATTAAATCTTCCAGTGAGGTAAGTATTTTAATATGCGTTTTACTTTCAGGTAAAATTGCTGTTATATTGAATAGGAAACAATACACCCAGATTTCGAAAGTGAAGACACGCAGTAAAGGAATGTATATCTCTTATCCCAGAATATTCAGGTACGGTGTTCCACAATTAAGTATCTTAGGTCTGTTGCTGTACATTTTCTATATAAATAATTTACGAAGAATAACGGAATTTCCAATATCCCTTTTGTTGATAACTGAGCAGTTACAATTAACGTTAGAACTAATGATATTTTTGAAAAGATATAAGTAAATAACACCATTCGTAAAATATAATATGGATGAATGACATTAACCTAACAAACAACTAAGTTATCAAGGGACAACTATCAATGAAGTAAATTCAACAACAATTTTAGTCGACTAAACTATTGACAATAACCTCAACCGGAAAGATCACACGAGCAATTGAAGAGGCGAATATGTTCTAATGTCTACGCTCTCTCTAAACTTGCGCACACCATTAAAGTAGATTCACTCATCATGGTATATCATGGGATTACAGAATCAACTTTGAGTTACGGTCTGTTATTCTGAGGAAACTCCACAAACAAAGAACAGATTTTTATATGTCAGAAAAGGTGTATTAGGGTTATGTTTGGCCTCAATCACACGATAGCTGTAGGCCATATTTTGTAAATATATTGTTACCCCTTCCTTTGCTGTATATACAATGTAGTGGTAATCTTTGTTAAATGAAATCAACATCTGTTTAATAAACTATCCACTGTGAGCAACCGAAACAGTTGAGATAATGACCGATTATGTGTTGTGAAGGCAAGTACAGCATTAATGCAAAAAAGCATTATCTGTATGGCACCAACTGTATATAATAAATTGCCCAAACACCTTAAATAATTAAACCTAATTAATTAAAAACGACAACTAAAATGTATTTAGTCAGTAAATGTTACTAAAGTATAGCGGAATATTTAACTGACGCCAACCCAAGTAGGTACATAGTATGTACACATCATCTGCCTACCCTTTTCCCAATTTTATTTGGGGTCGGCCCAGTATGTATGATTTTTCCATTCTACTCTATCATGCGTCATCTCACTGTTTACTCCCTTCCTAACCATATCATTCCTCACGCAGTCCATCCATCTTTTCTTCGATCTGCCTCTTCTCTTGTACCCTTCAACTCCCATACCTAAAACTTTCTTCGCCACATTTTCCTCATTCCTCCGCCTGACATGTCCATACCAAGATAACCTATTACTTCTTGACTTTTCATCCAGTGGCGCTACTTTCAGACTCCCTCGTATATACTCGTTCCTAACCTTGTCCATCTGAGTCACACCACACATCCATCTCAGCATTCGCATTTCGGCTACGTTCAGGCGTCTCTCATCCGTTCTCTTAATGGGCCAACTTTCAGAACCATACAGGACGGCAGGTCTGATAATAGTTTTATAAATTTGTCGCTTCAGTGTAAAGGGGAAACTGGGGTCACAAGTTGTTCCCGTTACCTGCCGCCACTTCATCCATCCCGTATTGATTCGATGCTGTACAGTTCGATCAATCTCACCATCACATTGTATTTGATGTCGTTCGTATTGTTGTGACGTATTTAAATATATTAGTAATTGTAACAATGAATGTTAATTTTTATGAATTGCTTGAATATTGCATCCTTTATTATTATTTTGTCTTTTTCAATTAATTAATGTAATATTTTCTTGGGGAAATTAATTAATATAAATTTTTCGACATATTATAGTTGCGGTTGACAATAACTTGAAAATGTTTATTTCCAATGACACTCAATTAAACTCCTATCCTTTATATATTATATAACTGGTAATACACGTAGAACATATTACCTACGTAACATCTTCATCCAATGCAAAATGTGTTCTGTATCACTCATGATTAAATGAAATACATTATTTTTATTCAAATAATTAACATACAACGTCAAACACTCTCTTCACAGAAGTCAGAAGACTAGGACTATATAAGTGAACGATTTATAAGCTTCACAGAAAGAGTCGCCTTGCTGTTGTCTAATGAACTAACTAATAGGTAGCAAAATTCTCCCATCTTTGCCTTCACCTGAGATGCCTGCCTGCCGTCTTGAGTTGGTTCCCTAGACATTGTTTGGTACTTAATAGTTGTCACCGATACTGGCATGAGGTGGGCAATATTGGATTAAGCGATTGAAAATGAAACATTGTGAATAATTTAACTATTTATTTATTTTATACAAATTCCGCTATAATACATATTTACAAAGGTAAAAACGAATCGAGAATATCGCGGTATAAAAAAAAAGCTTGAGCTGAGCTTGAGCAGAGTCGGCGGCGGCGCCGGGCGGCCCTCGGGCCGCGCCACGCCGCCGCCGCGCCACCGCGCACTAGCGCCGCACTAGCACCGCACTAGCGCCGCACTAGCACCGCACTAGCGCCGAGCGGCCGCGCCGACGGGCGGCCCTAGCCTACTACCTATACTACAGGATTGGTCTACCGCGCCCAGCGCGTTAAATGATGGAGGTGATCAGTCGCGCCTTAAAGTTCACTATCCTCTCGGAGGTCTGCGCGATACGTAAGATCAGGTCCTGGATGAGGTTAGCGATACCCCGGTTCGCAATAATAAAGAGCCGTGTTATGGGGCCGGGAACACCCTCCGTCAGGTTGTCACCTTTGGCCGCGCCTGCATCATCGGCGTCGCCGCCGGCAGCCGCATCACCGCCCGAGGAGCCCGAAGATGAGCCCGCAACTAGCTGTAACGTACACATAACTTCACTGACACGCTCTAGACGAGCGCACGCTTTGAAGGCAATACACGCCAGAGGAGATGCAACACGCTGAGCTCTCACTCGAATGTGTTTGGTACGAGCTCAAGTATGAGGAGTGTTCTTCTCTGGTGTGTATTGGCCGTTTAACACCCAAAGCCACATACATTTTCTACATGAACCGACCTAATGGCTATTTTACTATAATAACGGCTACACTCTGCACCTAGTAGCGTACTTACGTGGCGTCACCGGAACCTGCTTAACTACGTGAACAACAAAGGACCAACGGAGAGACCAGTCAACAACAAAGTTAGACTACAGCAAACAACCGTCAATACATATATACTAATGCTACGGGTTTATGCTATAACTACTTACTTAAGTTGTTACGAGTACCTACTTCAACTCAGAGGAAATAGGATCGAGGATGCGGTCAAAGTTGAGGAAGGGTATTATTAAAAATTAAAGAGCGTACGGGAGAACTACTGTCACAGCTAACTACTAAACGATTTCAACGATCGTTGGTCGGTGTGTGCTATGTAGTTATATGTGTGATGTATGGTGTGTGTACTTGTGGGTCGTTAGGGTCCAGGGTGGCGGTGTGCGACGCTGTGAGCCCCACGTTCAGGGAATCAGTGCCGGAAAACAGACGAAAAGCGGTACCAGCCGCGCGAGCCACTGCCTCCGCCGGACGCTGCAAGATCAATTCTGCTAACTCGGTACCTCGCTTCATTTAATAGTGCTGCCTGCTACCCACCTCACGGCCGAAATTATTGTACAGCGCACTTGGCGCTTACGTCGTTATCTATCATTAACCGCTACAGGTTTCATCAATAAATTGGTAATTTTTTGTATAAAGCAGTAAATTGACTAAGGTTTTTTAGAAGTAGAACTAGTTAGTAGAGTGCGCTGCGATCACTTACCCTGACGATGTCGAAGAGGAAGTTACCGGAACCGCCGCCGGATGCACCGGCGTTACCTCCGAAGCTGAGGAACCTAAACCAGTCCTTTACTTTAGTTACATACGGTATAATGTTCAGTAGACAGACAAATACGCTCACACAAGCACGCGGTGAAAGTTTTTACGCGTGCTTATCCGCACAAAATTTAAAATTGTTCTCTCAATCAAATTTAAACTAGTCGACAATATTGACAACTTACTAACTTTTGATCCGAACTCTTTATTATAAAGTTTGCCGCCACAACCCTCAAATTTATGTCGCAATAAAGCATAGCTATGAGTACACACCTCTTATTTCTGTTTTCTTCGCTAGAGTCAGCGTCGTCCAGTGAGATTTCATCTATGCTGGCACTGTTGGTCTGCGCGGCGGTTTGCTGATCGTCGCTGGCAGCGACTACCTGATCTTGTTGTCCCTCTCCGAACGCGACGCGTACTTCAGCCTGTTGGGACTCTGCTCCAGATAGCAACTGGTTCTCTTCAGCGATCGCGTTCTGAAACACGCAAGGCTGAGATAGAGAAAGCATTGATGTTTGACGGATGATCGGTATGGTCGTGACGTGACGTCAATGCGTGAGGTGACCGTGACTATGGCGATGACTGACGATGAAGGCGCGCGGTCTGCGCGCGCCCGCTCTGCCGCCTCCGGGCAGGCTGGGGTTAGTGCGCGATAGTACCGACACGCTCATACCAGCACGTAGTAAAGCGCGCGCCGCCTGCGGCTGGAGGCGGGCGCGATGGTGGTTGGGGCATCGGTGGGTGCGGCAGTTGTAGGTGCAGCAGTAGTAAGTGCGGCAGTGGTAGGCGCGACGGTGGAGGAGCTGGAAGGTGGCGCTGGTTCATCATCATCGTCATCATCGTCGTCGTCGTCGAGCTCGATGGTGCCCCCACCGGAGTTACTCTTGTTGCCGCCACCCAGGAACAAGCGCAGCACGACTGGCCCGAACGCTTGCACCACTGAACTCGTTATTTGCTGTACTTTCTGTTCGATTATCTAGAACATAGAGCGCCCTTAGCACGTCGCTTCGGTAGCGACCACATACATATATGTCTATATACCTTTCTGTGTCGTCGTGAACGTCGAGTGTGACGTCACACACGGAACTACTCCGTTGTCTTTTCAAACGGCATGCACTAGGTCTTATATAAACAGTGTTAGTGTTCAAATATTGTGAAATCGATGTATGCGTGGTGCTCGTGTCTTACCTGCGTGAGTGTAGGGAACAATTGTCGAAGAATACCGATGGTGCGCTTGTTTCGCTCGCTTAGCTCGGACCCGGGGGCACCCAGGTTCAGCGTCGCCAGCGTTTCCTGTAATGCCATAGCCGCTTCATTAGCTGTTACTTTGAGAGCATTAAAGGTTGCTAGCCGCCTGTATGCAGCGCGACTGACGTTGCACAGTTTTGGGCAGCGCGTGTCACAGCTACGGCCTCTAAGTCGTGTTAAAAGTCACAACCTCACTGCGCAGATAGACGAATGATTCATTGTAATATAAAAATGTGTATTCTCATAGTTATGAAATTATGCTATTGATGGATCGTGGGTGTTTAGGGTCACGCAACTGGTTGCGATGTGACCTGTTGCCATGTTAGTAATTGTGTATATTTTGCTACATGTAAGAATATCATTAGCAGATGGACAACGAAGAGCACCGCAGGCGACCGCTTGCGCCGCTCAATGGGCTGCGCACGCGCTGACGCACAACGAGGACGTTTATTTATTAACTCATTTACATACTAAGGTTTACAATGAGACCTTTCAAAGCCTACTCATTAGCATTTGACATAACCGTGTAGCCGTAGTTTCAATCATTATATTATTAAAGGATTATATTATAAAGCTGAAGAGTTTGTTTGGTTGAACGCGCTAATCTTAGGAACTACTGGTTTAAATTGTAAAATTCTTTTAGTGTTGAATAGCTCATTCATCGAGGAAAACAATAGGCTAAATAACATCACGCTACCACCAATAGGAACCGAGTGTCAATTAATAATGTTGCAAAACTGGGGAAAATTTATTCCTTTTGAGAGACGCAGATGAAGGTGCGTGGGTGCTATATAATATAATGGTGCTATATAGGTGCTATATAATATCAGATCTATTGGTTTCTTTTTTTTTGTGGTCAGTACGACAAACGTAGACGATACCTGTGCGCTGGCAGCGGGCGCGATGATCTCGATGATTTCAGGTCTGTCGTCAGCGGCGGCAGCAGGGTCAGGTTGTGCGGCCGGGTCTGGGTTCGGTTCCGGGATGGGGGCTGGCGCGCCGGCGACTAGCGCCAGGGCCGCGCACAGCGTTGTTAGGTAGAGGGTCGTTCTCATTTTGTATTAGTTAGCCTAGGTCTGTGGTGACCGGATCTCTTCTCTGCACAGACAGTTCGCGTTGTTCTCTCCGTGGCAAACTGATTTGTTGGGACCTGAGAAGTGAACTTTTATGTTAGTGATAGCCGCGGCGGGACAGCATCGGTCGATGGCCGTCTGCTCATATCCACCTAACATTTACTGTGAAATTAGTGACATGCGTTTCATCTCTTGTCTATGCTTGACCTTGACAACTTATGCTTTATGTTCTCACAATTACAATATTCGTTCTCTTGTAGGGCAGTTGGGTAATGAGTTTGTGCCACTTTCGTACCGTTCGGTTACATAAGTAAGCAGAAATGGAAGGTAGATATGAACAACTCGTCACACAGACAAAAGCTCACGCAGAAATTACTCAATAATTTGATGGATATAATAACTTTACTGTTTAGATTGGATTGAATATTTCGTAACATTGATTGTTATGTTTAAATTAATAACTGATAGAAAATTTTAACTAGAATTGTGCTACTACTAGAATACGTTGGTACGTGAGCGCTTCTGTTCTGTCTGTCGCACGTTGGGGCACGACCAGCTCGTCCCGGGGACGTTAACCTATTGGTGTTCCGCAGCTAGGCAAGTACCCGCACAAGTGTGATCATGTTCGATGTTAAGATAGCGCTGTGTAACGTGTCCAAATGATAATTCAAATAAGTAATTAAGATTACGTCCAATCAGATCAGACCTCTAAAATCTGTTATGGAAATCGTATTCTTCCTTAACCAAAGTTACGCGATCCACCTCAGATTTGGACTGTATCAAAAAAAGGTACAAGTAGCATAAAACGGCAGGCACATTATTGTTAGATCCATATTCTATCAATATAGTGAATATAGTAAGATATAGTACAAGTGAAACAGCGTGCAGTTGTGAATCAGTTGTGTGTACTCCAACTGTGTGTGTATGTGGAGGTATTAGGCGTTGTTAGGCGGGCTCCTATTTGTGTATGCAGCGCGCAGGTGTGCTGCGCAATGCGCGCCGACGTGAGTCAAAGGTGACGAGGCGACCTACTAGCGTTTAATCATTTGTCCCCGACTGAACTCGACAATTTGACATGTACCGTACCAACTCACCCATCACATAACCAGATTATGTTCATAAACGTATTCGACCAGAGCACAACGAGACTAATATCACTTCTTAAAACTCTTCTAAACGGTTAATTAATCTGCGTTTTTTTATTAACTAAACGTCACTAATTTATAATATTTTACTTATTTATTTCTCTGCTTATTAACAATTATTCTCTACTTATATTTAATTCAACCTTATTTGTATCTAATATGACACGCTGCGGAACGTAGGGCAACACTGCGATATATCCAGAGGTGATTAAACATTACAACATTCTGGTTGCCATACACTTTACTATACTTTGCTTCGTTTTGAAATATTGTTAGGGTTGCTCTACGTGTAAGATTACTTGTTGAACGATAAGCACAACTGAAGGCCACGCTGAAGCAAATATTAAACATGTTCAGCTTATTATTTATGCCGGCACAAGTCAGCGGTTTGCGTGCGGCTATCGGCTGTGCCGATTAACGTCGAGCCGTTTTTGTCCATAGCAACCCGCGCTGTTGAGGTGTGAGAAATAATGCAAATTTGATTAATGAGTGTTACTGCGAGTGACCTGTGCGTGTACACGTTTGTGCTCAAAGGCCACCCGGCATCGCGGATCTGTTACGGCACTGGAGATTGTTGGTTGACAAGATACTGAGCCAAATATTTGGAGCTCTTTACTATCGAGGTATATATTACATCACACTTGCGAAACAGGAAATATTGTAATGTATGAACCGGATTTAGCAAGGGCGCGTCCTCAGAGCGAACGCAAAGCGGGGAGTGTTGCACAATAGAGCGCGACCCCGGGTATGTTCGCTTACTCGAGGTTAAGGCGAAAATGAGCTGCTTTATGTGTATCACTACACGTTGCTGCCAACGAACCACGCGCACTGACCCCGCGCCACGTTAAGTAGCGCCACACCAGGCCACAGCCTCGCATCACGTTGGCCAAACAGCCAGTTTATAGTAATGACTGACTATTTGTAACTACAAAGTAACTACTTTAATATTACGCTACGGTGGAGTCTCTATTATCGAATTCAAATTATACAGTAATTATATCTTAATACGTCATACAAGTACACGATGCACGTGGGTGTCGCAGTGTAGGGTCGCGTCGCTGAGATTGGCTCCACGTACTTACTCGTACATAGCACATAATTAGATAACTTCGTGTGTAACTGGTGTTATTTTCATAATGTTTTTTGATTGTGTCATTATCATAAAACACACTGGGTGTCTGTTGTCAGTTACTGCATCGTCTATTAAAAGCAGCTTTATATTTAAATGGTGGAGAAGTAAGGAATTAGCTCACTCCGTTCATCCATTTTATGAACCCTATTAGATACCACAAAGTATTTTAGGCACTGTATAATTTTATTTTAGCTCCCGTGTACGGTGTGTAAATACAACACAGGTTCCGATCACCGCGGTACACAAATATATCGCCTTAGGAACTTGTAAATCAAAAAAAAAAATAGGCACTGATTAATTCGTTAGTTGCGCTTAGTTAAGTAAAACCAGTATCGTGCCGTGTTGAGTAACAATGAAGAAGCTCGTAACGGAACTATAACAGGAACTATAGTATCTAATAAATTCTTACAATCAAAATAATAAAATTGAATCAAGCGTTGTTTAGAGAAGTGCACCTACCCCAGTCATTGATGTCTAAAATATCAATCATTCTTATTTCCAAATTGTTTTAATTATTTTTTGGCCAAAGTAGTATCCTAAACTATGACTATATGTTTATATAACATGTTGTATAATTAATTACAAGCTATACGAGACATGAATATTAATTTGTGCACAATATCAGTAATATAAATGTTAACGAGGTAGCAGTTTGAACCGTAAGATATATATGTATATACATTTGCATTTTAAATACTTGATATTATATTTCGTAAGCGCAGTCAACTTGCTCAATATTAAACTCAAAATTATGCAAATGTTCCAAATGTATTAAGTTATATTTCTTGTTTTGGGAAAAACCTTGCTCTGGTTATCAAGAATGGACGCTTACAGCCATGAGTGGGCGCGAGTGTCACCACCCGTGACGAGGACGATGCATTTTGACCACTATCAATAACCTCTTTTAATTTTACACTGTTATTAAAATTAAAGTACATTTTGGGCTTTTACACTAAACAAGTAGGTATATAGAGAGTAATTTACCGTGACGATGGGACCGGACCGGGCCACTGAAGGCGGTTTGAGGATTGGACGACTGTGTCCCGTCCTAGGCGCTACGTCGCCTCGTCGATTTTAATTAAAGATGTTCTTCTTCACAGACGCGGTGAATCATCGTCACTACTATATATATGTATAATGTCTTAATGAGTAGTTTACTAAAGCCTCAACAGAAGTAGAAGTCTCTCAGACAAAGAAAATTATACTTAGCCGATTTATGATATTTAATTATGTATCAGTTGAAATCAAAAGTGGAAGTAGTTTAAATAAATAAGAAATAAACATTAAATATACAAAATGTTGAAACATAGCATAGTTTCCCACGAGTTTAGTCGTATTTCTCTAAATTGGGTTTATTTAGTTGTCACACCGCTATTGCACAAGTGCTGAGGTCGGTCGGATCCGTCACTGGAGGTGTGCTGTTGTCCTGCACACGTTACTGTGACGGTTGTGTTTGCTTGGCGATGCCAACACCAATCCATGTGACCCCTGTCTCCTCATGTGAAGTACCTCATGTAAAGGTCAATCCCTTACATGATGTTGACCTGGACCTATGTATCTATCTCTCTTTGTGACGAAATCTTTCCTAGTAGTTTACACCCACTTCAATATCTATAAACCAATATATTTGCAAACATCTTTAAACCCATAGGTAAAAAGAGTTTGTGTCGCAAAGTGTGGGTGTTTGACACCAAATGTAACAAATAGTTCATTGGTCTATCAATGACGTGATTATTTAAATGATGGCGATGCTTACTTACAAGGCACGTTTGCCCAATATGAACATTATTTCTTACTTTTTAGTTCAGTTTGCAAGTAAAGCGTGTATTTTAAATAATATTATTATATATTAGTCTTTGTATATTTTATGGCGGTCAGTTATAGCAGTTAGCAATAATAGTGTCTCATTTGATGATGACATGCATAATCTTCCATATATTACGTGTTTTTGTTGTGTTTGTGTCAGTTTACTGTGTTCTAGCAGTTTCTTATTATGTTATATAATTGTCTACATCTATCCGGTGACGGATAACCTCTCCCACGATCAGAAGTCTTTAAAGTTCATTTTTGAATACATTTTTCAATGTCTATATCTTTCGTCCCCAATTCAATGTATCATTCTCGTTGTGTTTAAATAAATATGCTTCATATATGCTACATGTACGCATATATTCATATAAGCATGTAGAAGCCGAACGAGTGACTGGCGCCCTTCAGGTTGTTTGTAATCGAACTGCTGTTAAGAAATGTTGATTAAGATTTAACGTATAATTAGTGTATAAAGCAGCCGGAACCGGTCGGTAGACTGTTGCGACAAGTTTCAAAAAACAACACAAACGCATTAGCCACGAGTAGTGGTCCAAGAGTCCAACGAGTATTACGAGTATTAAACATGCACTTAACTGCTAGAGCTAGCTACTAGGAGTCAAGCTTCATGATCACCGATCGATCTATTCTATGTATTATAACGTCGTTACGGAAGCAATATAGAAATGGTTAACCAAAATCTCAGTTAGTTTTGAAATTACACACAATTTACCCATCTGCGCAATCATTACTTTTCTGTGTTATTGAATTAAAACGTAATTTCATGACGCATTCACTTAACAATAATAATAACAAATAAGAATGAGACCCCAAGAAGAACGAGATTCCCATTTCAAGTGTAAATGTAAATAATAATAATAATAATAACCTCACACTTC